GCCAGGAAAAGGGGCAGGCACTTGGGTGTCAGGAGCACAACCCTCCCCTCTACTCACTTCCCTCTGATAGTGGTGGGGCACAGGCTTTTTCAGTGCCTGAGGATCAGGAGAGTAGTTTGATTTTGCTGAGGAGGGGCAGGGCAGTGAAGTGTGTCCCTACTTCACTGCCTTACCTGGCACTTTCCTCTGCCTCTCACCTGGCTCCTACCTCGCCTGGTGTGCTATTTGGAAAGACTCTAAAACCGCCTTCCTAATTCATAGCTGGATAAACTGAGGGCCCTGGCTAAGAAGACTAAGACTTTGACTCTGGCTCCAATGGCTCTCCCCATCCCCTCCATCACATGGCTGGGAAAGTCCTGACTAAAACATGGGGCTGCTTAGTCCTCATGTCCTGACCATTGGTGAGATCTGAGACCCAGTGTGCTTTTTAGGGAGCCATAAGGCTTCTGGGACACAATTACCTTAAGGTTAGTGGAGGCCCTTGGAAGGGCCTTGGAAGACCTTGAGCTCTTCCTGGTGAGCAGAAGCCCAAGTCTCATCCCTGTGTCCCTGCTTTCTCCTGGCCACTGCTCCTATTGCCCTGAACCCACAGCCTCTCCTCAAACCCTGCTTCTGCCTTCCCCTGTCCCATTCTACCTTCAGGTTGCCCCCTAATTCATCTCCTATACACTGAAACTAGTCTGGCCTTCTTAACTCCAGATACAGGTGAGATCCAGGAGAGGTGCTATGCCTCAGCTTCTTCCTCTGTAAAGTGGGGATAAAATCAGACCCATCTCATGGGGTTGTGAGGATGAACTGAGAGCATGAGGTAAAGCACTTGGAACCATGCCTGGAGTAGAAGAAGCTCATCTGCTAATAATGAAAGAGACTGACATCAGGTGGGTGGTTACTCTGCACCAGGAACTGTTCTAACACTTCCTATGTGACAGTTGATTTAATCACCACAACAATTTTATGGTAAGTTTTACTGCTGTCATTCCCATTTCCCAGGTGAACATACTGAGGCAGAGATATTATGCAACTTTTCAAAGTTCACAATGCTAGTAACCTGTTGAACAAACATTTGAACACACATACAGTGGGGCCTTGACTTATGAGTTTAATTCGTTCCGAGACCGAGTTCGTTAACTCAAATTACTCTGTCAACTCAATGCTAAAAATCGGCAGAGAGACAGCTGGTATCTCAAAAAACTCATTAGTCAGGACACTTGTAAGTCAAGGCCCCACTGTAGTTTGACTCCTGAGTTTAATTTTTTAACCACTCAACCATATGCCTGCCTAGAAGCAGTCAAAGACACACTCATATATATAGGATAAGTCTCAATTCCTTGAGCTGCCACTCAAGTCTCTCCCAACCCCCTCCTCCTCACACTACAAATCACCTTGACAACTGAATGACTGCTTCCAGAACACCAAGGGTACTTACTTCCTTCTAAACCCTGGCTTATGCATTTTTCTCCACTTAGAATGACACTCTCTCCTCACCCCCCAAAAATGTTCCTGCACATACACACACAAACTCCACCTCTCCAGTTATTTATTTTTATTTTTAAAAATATGTTTTTTGTTTGTATTGACATCCTTCATCTTTTTCTTTTCCATTTGCTTTTCTTTTTTTTAAAAAATATATATTTTATTGATTTTTTACAGAGAGGAAGGGAGAGGGATAGAAAGTTAGAAACATCGATGAGAGAGAAGCATCGATCAGCTGCCTCCTGCACACCCGCTACAGGGGATGTGCCTGCAACCAAGGTACATGCCCTTGACCAGAATCAAACCTGGGACCTTTCAGTCCGAAGGCTGACGCTCTATCCACTGAGCAACACCAGCTCGGGCCCCT